AGTGTTGACAAGCCAAACACATACGCACAAGCTCTGTAGAGTGTGATACGTGAACAAAGATTTTTGCTCCTGACGAGAATATAGGAGATAAGCGTTGGCTTTTTGAATATTTCTCTCTGTAAAGGCTGGATTAGATGTCATTTGCTCATAAAGTTGTTCTTTGGGTGATGCAACGGCAAGGTTACCTTGTACGACTGAACAAAAGGCAGAACTTGTTTTCACACGCTATTGTTTTGTAGGAAAGCCGACTTCCGTTTAGCAAATTTAACCTCCGAGGTAATTTTTTTCAACGAGATTCTGAGGGTAGCCACAAGTACGAACGCTTGTGAGTTAACTGAGTAGTTTGTCCTAAAACTGTACGGTCTTCACCTTTCATGCGACCTTTCTGATCTTTTCTGGAGCTATAATTTCTCAAGTTCCAAAGTGCACTTCCCAGATCTGGAAGTCTGCTGTGATTGGTCAACGTTTTTTACCGCTCAAGTCAGCAGACGTTCGAGGGGCAGGAACGCGTGACGAACCCCTTAGAACGTCTGCGTGGGAGGCTACCCCTTCCCCAAGCCGAGCGGCTTTGCAGCTCCTCTGCCAAAACTTTGTGCGCGCTTATGATCCCGCGGACTACTACTACTGACTGCTACTACGGTTTTTGTTATGCTTCTACTTTTACTTCCTTCAAACTTTTTAAGATCACTTTCTCAAGAATAATTACTAGTTAACTGTTTATAATCGTTTGGTCTGAAATTGTCTGACTATTGGGGAAGCTCCTACTAGCTTCAGGGGGACGTTATAATACGGATGATTTTCATTATGTTTGTTTAGATCCAAGTATGGTGCATCCCTCTGCATTATCACCTCCAGTTTTTCGATCATCTGAAAGAAACTGGGACGAGAGCGTAGTTCCTCCTTCCAACAGTCAGTCATCAGCTCATATCTGTTATGAATAAAAAACAACAACAACAACAATTTGAGTTAGTAAGAGTTCCATTCCATTATTACATACATAGAAACCGTTTCTATTTGACGTAAGATACCCCAATTTAGTAGAATAGTTTTTCCTTTAGACCAGCTGGGAACCACTCACGCCGGATAGTTAGGCTTGTCGGTTTCTTGCCTAGCCTGCGAGCAAGCTCTCCACTTGGGGCGATCTCGTGAGAAGTACACGCACGAGCGGCACGCGAGAGGAAACACGACAGCGACGGGACCCTCGCGTGGTGGATGGTTTTGGAATGGTCTGCTGGAAATGTTTTTTTAAAGTTTTCCAAGTTGAAAGAATTATCCAACATCGCCAAATTTTGCTAATAAAGCTGTTACCAGGTAAGAGAAAGAATACCTAGTTTTAATCAATGACCATAAGGAAATATCGAACATGGAGAAAAAATCCTTGCTGTCGATCTCTGTTAAAGTCTTAACACTATCTTACTACTGTATGAAACAAATATTTAAGCTAAGATTTTGCCGTCCGTCTGTTCAGTAACCAGTTTGATCGAAGAAAACGTCAAAAATCGCCAACCGACTTGTCTTCTGCAACGTTCATTGCTATAATTTATAACTAAGAAGACGCACGGAAAAATCGAATCTATTTGTAAACTTTAAGACGATTCTGATCAAGAAACGTACACATCATCAGAGCACATGTCAGGCCTTTCCATGCGATAACCAGTGCCAAGCAGTCGATACAACTCTGAGTTGATTAGCGTGTGGTATGGTACGCCTCCTGGTCACGTTATGAAAAAGAAAAAAATATACATGTTATTATTTGAAAATACGGCTCATTCCATTGGATAGATTTCTACTGGAAATGTCAACGTCCACGAGTCTTCATCCCCCCGCACTCAATAATGCAGTTCTGCAAAAGAACAGAGATTGAATAGGGGTCAGAGTTGCATTTAAATGTAAGGAAGAAAGAAAGAAAGAAAGAAAGAAAGAAAGAAAGAAAGAAAGAAAGAAAGAAAGAAAGAAAGAAAGAAAGAAAGAAAGAAAGAAAGAAAGAGAAAAAGAAAGAAAAAAAGAAAGAAAGAAAGAAAGAAAGAAGGAAAGAAAGAAAGAAAGCAAGGAAGCAAGCATGGTGCTTAGTAATAATGCTCTCTATAATGCGTACACAGTTAATGCCGATTATCACTTATTTATGATTTCAGACATAAAGCCTAGTTCAAAACAAAAAAGCCTACTGGCATGGCTTGCCACGAATACAACTGATCAGGTATCAGCCTATTTCCTGATGGCAATAACCTTATTTAATAAGGACTCACTCTTTTAAAAGTCCCAGTGTCGTCCTTTAACATCAGGCACGTCGTACTGTTTAAGTCATATCCCCCGTGGCACTAGGGAGGACAGTCCTTGGGATCTCACTCCCCTTGGAAGGTAACATGATCAGTGTGTGACAGTCTACTCACCCAATGTAGCCATCTCCCAAGGAACAACACCAAAAGACCAACTATAAAGAAAAGCACAAAGGTCATGAATATGCTCACTGCATAAACGCTATAAATTTTCCTCCTCTTCTTTTTACTTGACGAACTAAGGGAAAAAGGGCTTGTCTCCACCTTTCCGTGCCTTCGCGCTTGATTGAACCCTATGACACCAGGCCTCAGATGCTCAAAGCCCTTAGCAAATGGCCTAGCAAGGTTAATAGAGTAGGGAAATCAATACCAATTTACGTGACGGGTCTGTCGCATATTCGTAAACTTTTCCCGGCAAAGGAAAGCTTTTAAGTGATCTTTACATACACTCTGATTTACAGACGCCGCTCTCGCTATTGACTATGAAAACTATATATAGTCCTGAGTCAAAATTGCGCTGACAAGTATGAAATTACCCACTATATTAACCACTGGAATTCTAGATCGGTTTGAATTAAACTCACTGATCACGATTTTTAGGGTAGCTGAGGTTTTCTGAGCAGGAATGTATTGAAATGTGTTTAAAAGAGCGGGAATCATTTGTACGTACACATCACTTTTGGTAGTGTGAAGGCCTTGATAGAGTGATTCTGGGGCCATCCATTTCACAGGAAGTTTTTTGGACTTCGCTGAGCAGCTCATATCTTCATAGATTTGTCTCATCAACCCAAAGTCTGACACTTTGATTTGGTGGTCATGGCCAACAAGAACATTACGGGCAGCAAGGTCTCTGTGAACAAGATTGTTTCGGCGA